TTAGCCGCTAAATCCCGCTAAATCTCCGCTATAGCTCCGCTATAGCTACAGTGCCATAAACGTTTTAGCCCGCTATTTAAAACTTTGATTGCAATAGAGTAGTCTAATGATATTTCTAGTAAATTGACCGAACACTTAAATTCCTAGTCTATGTCTGATTTCTTTAGCCCGATTGCAGGATTTTACAAGGCCCGATTTCAAACCCCAAAATCCTACACAAACCCTAGTCTCCTTACACACTCTATAAATAGCATGTTCCCTCTTTCCCAACCTCACAAAACCCTAGCCTCTACTACTATTCATCATCTCCTACTTCCATTCAAGCTCCATTTCAATATCTAAGCCAAGAAACATCTCTTTTCCCAAGATCTAGTGCAAATATATACAAGATGTCTTAGCTTATATCAAGATCTAGCTTCATTAAATCTTTCCCAAGATCTAGTGCAAATATATACAAGATGTCTTAGCTTATATCAAGATCTAGCTTCATTAAATCAAGATCTACCTTTAAAAATCAAAGAAACATCATCTCCTTCATCTCTTCAAGAACCCATGGCTTGAGCTTCAAAAATCCGGCCATCCTCCACCAATTTCCAGGGACCGACGCCTGTTCTAGGCTCACGCCGGCGAGTACTCCTCCACCCCGCAGCTCCACCGCGCGTCACGCCGTCACCTCCCGTCGCCTCACTGTAGCAGCCCGATTTCAGCTCCTGCACGGAACCCTTGACGTCGGCAGCTCGTTCATGTTACCAACCAAGCACAGCAACTAGTTTTCCGGCGAAGCTTCGACGACCTCGCGCGTAGCTCATTCTCCTCCACGTCCCCGAGCCCAAATCGCGGCCAGTAAGCTCGAGCTCGTGGTTTCCCGACCAGCCACCGCGATTATATGTTGTATTTTAAGTTTTTAACAATTTTTATAAATAGGCCATTGGGATGTGTGTTTGGTTAAAGAGTATAATTTAAATAAATGGTTTTCTTTTGACTTTAATAACCATTTATGACCTAAAATTTTAAATTAAATAGTATCAATTTTTTTGAAAAAAAAAAAGAAAAAAATCCACATAAATATGAATATTAAGATTGGAATTCGTTTTGTAGGGTGAACTCTATTACAATTCCTGTAAATGATTGATGGATTGAAATTGATGAATTAAAAAGATAGTTTTCTACATCATAATTTGGTTCTTTACCATTTGGTGGTGGATTATACTGATGAATAAAAAAGATAGAGCATGTTTGTATATAAAATTCACTCAAGGTGTAGCTTTTTGATTAACTAGAGTTAATTTAGAAAAAGATTGTATAGTTACTTTTTAGTGAATTTTTTATTTTATATTAAAATATTATTTAAAATAAAATAATTAAAGTTGAATTGATGTAAAAGTATGTGAGAGATGATATGAAGTGATGATTAGTTAAAATTATGTGAGAGAATAAAATAGTGAATTAAATTAGATGTGATTTGTAAGAATGAATGGATGATATTATTTAATTATATTTATAACATCGAGGAGATTGGAGTTGAGTTATTATTGAGTTAGAATGAAATTTTGAGGGAAATTTTTTCTATATAGAAATATGCTCTTAGCAACCTCCTTTTTTTTCGGTTCTATAAAAGAATTATGTCTTTTTGTCTAAGTTATTTTTCTTATTCCCAATTATTATTCTTTTTAATATAACTATTATTGATAACTAGTACAACGCTCGTGTATTACACGGGTGCTTGCTAATTTTTTCCTTAAAATCTAAAATTATTGAGAAAAAGTAGTTGAAAATTTAAATAACTTTTATAAAAATATATATTATTATATATTTAGTATGACACTTTTTATTTGTTGGACTTACTTGTGTTATATTATAATAATTTTTTTTAACTTACAACATATAACTACATTAAACAAAAATATATCAACTGAGAAATAATTTTATTTTTCTAATAAAATTTAATAAATATTATTTTTTATTATTATAAAGGTATATATTACATATTTATTTAAGTATACAATATGGATGTCAAATCGAAGATCATGAAAACATGATTAATTTGATATATTATATATGTAAAACCGTTAAGAAATACAAAAGTTATCAACTTTTAAAATACATTTATAATTCAATAACTAATTGATGGAAACAAATCAAAAGTCAGGGATATATTAGTCACTTAGTGTCTCACTATGTAAAATTACAAAGAATTAAAAGGTTATATTAGTACGATATTAAAATACCTAAGTTAGCTAAATAATATTTATGGAATGTCCGAACCTAGATATTAATCCTCCTTATCTATTATTTTCGAATGCGCTGAGCCTACGTGGCTGCTTCTGGTGTTTCGGAATCCTACTTGGCAAAGAATCATGCTTCGTAATTAGGTTTGTAAAAATAATATTGATATATTAATAATTAATAATTTAGGTTTGGACATTCCATAAAAATTATTTAGTTAACTTAGGTATTTTAATATCACTTGTACTAATATAACCCTTTATTTCTTTGTAATTTTACATACTTAAGAACTAAGTGACTAATATATCCCTAACTTTTGATTTGTTTCCTTCAATTAGCTATTGAATTGTAAATTTATTTTAAAAGTTGATAACTTTTGTATTTCATATTGGTTTTACATATATGATATATCAAATTAATCATCTTTTGATGATTTTCGATTTGACATCCATATTGTATATATGAAATAAATAAATTATATTTATATTTATAATAATAAAAATAGTAATATTTATTAAAATTCATTAGAAAATTAAAATTATTTCGTAATTGATATATTCATGCTTAATGTAGTTATATGTTGTAAGTTAAAAAAATTATTATAATATAACACATGTAAGTTGCACAAATAAAAAGTGTCATACTAAATATATAATAATATATATATTTTTATAAAAGGTATTTAAATTTTCAATTATTTTTTCTCATTAATTTTAGATTTTAAGAAAAAATTAGCAAGCACCCGTGTAATACACGGGCGTTGTACTAGTTATTAATATATCAATATTATTTGTCCGAACCTAATTACGAAGTATGATTCTTCGCCAAGTAGGATTCCGAAGCACCAGAAGTAGCTACGTAGGCTCAACGCATTCGAGAATTATATATAGAGGCGATATTGTGTTGTTATTGAATTTAATAGATACATATACAATTGTCCCAATGGATTTTTTCTTTTAAAAGAAAATAAAATAAAGAAAAACGTATGTTCATTATCAATTTTTAGTGGGCTTTTTATCCCGCATATTTTAGTAATAAAACTAATAATGCATACAGTAAAATATATATAACATGATCTTTTTCAAATAAAATGTTGGTTGGTTAAATTGTTGTTATTATGATGGGCCTAGTGGCATGTAAAGGCACCGAAAGAGAAATTGACACATCAACAGCTTGAAGGCAATACGTGGCAGCCCACAAGTCACAATAGGCCCAGCCTACTTTTACGAATTGTTACAAGTCCAAAACAGCAATATACCTAAATGCATTTATACTATTTTATTTAATTCTCACTTCATATAATAGTTAAGTTAGACTGTTCGAGTGAAAATAAATAATCTATACTTACATAAAAAGCAATCCCATTTACTACATTTAGTAGGAAGAAAAGTCAACTCATAATTAATTGCACACCATATTTAAAAAGTTTTTAAATTTTTTAAATCATAAAATAGGGTAACATTAAATGACCCTAAAATTATGGGTTTTGTTGAATTAATTTTAATAAAATCTGCATCCAAATTTACGTGTAGTTTTGAAGTGAAAATTAAAAATTCAAAATCTCTTCTCAGTTTAGTTACAAGAAAATCGGGTTGCATTCAACACTTGAACCAATTAAAAATTTATTCCTTAAATAAAGGAATTTATATATAATTGTTATCTCTACTCAATCACATGATTATTTTCAATATAAAAAAAGACAAATTACAAATTATTGAATCATATATTACCTAATTCAATATCTTAACATTAAGGAATAAATCATTAGTATCTCATATTATTACATCATTAAGAATATATTATTGTTATATTATCAAATCATAAAAAGATATTAAATCCACATTGTAAAAAAAAATAATTGATATAATTTTATAACAATTCTACTACAATATTTAACAGTATTCCTTTTTATTGTATAATAAAATAATAATTAAATATTATATGATGAACAGAAATAAGTAAAATTGTTACTTTCTCATATATCAAGGATAAATTTATATGCTAAAATTTAATTTTTATTAGTATAAATGTTTTAGTGAGATAATATATTAATTATTGTACAAGCTAGCTCTAACATTCTCATATTTAATGTTCTGGCTAAAAAAAGACGTTGGTTAAAAGATGTGGAAAAAACCAACAGGAGTTGGCTCAAGTGGTAAGCAACTTAATGTCCCTTAAGCAAGGTTTTGGGTTCGAGTCCTCGTGGATGCAGAAAACCCTTGTTGGGAGACTCACCCACCACTGTCAGGTGTGCGACCCGGGTCGACCAACGGATTAGTCGGAGCATAGCTCCGGATACCGTGGCTGGCTACTAAAAAAAAAGATGTGGAAAAAAACTTATAAGCATATTGTTTTTTAGACTTAACGTTGATTAAAAGAGATAGAAAATACATAATAGTCTTATTACTTTTTAGACTTAATTTGACAAGACTGTAAAAATAATTAATTTAATATCTTTATCCCGTGCATTGTACTGGGTACGTACTAGTTTACTGTAATATGGGAGGTGATAATTCAGAAAATAAATGTGAACCATTGACTTCCACGCTGGCATAATTGCCAAAATATCTTAGGCCATTTTGTATCTGAAGATATTTTGCTCACGCAGGCCCCACCCACATTTCTACTTCAAAAAGCCCCCTAAAGTAATACCTTTAACTAGTGACCGCCACCTCTCTCGTCTCCGAACTTTCTAGACGCCGGCCGCTACCCAATGTCCACCGCCACCTCCGGCACCGCCCTCCAAACCCCAATCCTCGATTCAGAAACCTCCTCCCTCCTGCAGCGAATAGCAGAAGAGGGCGGCTACGCCTTCGCCTCCATGGTCGCTCGGGCGGCCGCCGGCGACACCCGCGCGGCGGAGGCCGCCCGGGAGATGGCCTGGGAGCAGCTCCACTCCGGCCCCTGGCACTCGGTCGTCCCAATTTGGAGGGACGCCTACGCAATGGCCTGTCTCCACGTGGCCAAGCACCATTATTCGTCCGGGGAGCTGACGCTCGCCCTCAAATCGCTGGATATGGGCCTCATCATGGGCGGATTGACCCTCAGAGACGATTTGAATTCGTGCATTGGGAAGGTCAGTGATGCGTTGAGGAGAAAGGAGCTTAGTGATAATGGCGGAGGGTTGCAGAAGGGTGAGTGGTATAGGGATTTCAAATTGGCAGAGGTGAGGTTTGTTTTCTCTTTCTCTTGCTTCCCGGTGAACTCTGAATCTGTAGAAATTTATCAATTGTTAATATTTGTTATTCCTTTGAGAAGAGTACGCCTTCTGAAAGATGGAGTACAACCATTTGATGCGGATTGCGCTGCTCAAGCGTACGTGTTCCTTTATTTTTCTTTGAGAAGTTGTGTAGGTTTGTACAAAATGGGTGCTAATAAATAAATGACTAGTATTCTGCTTTGTATCTTCAATTGTGGAACCATCAACTAATAATTTGATTTCCCTTGTCCTAATACATATAGTGATTGCCTAGAAGACTCTCTGTGATCACTCATAAAGTATAATGCTTGAGATAAGATAGAACTTCTGTAGGAAACAACTGAGGGAGAATTCTAAGATTTTTTGTCGGGTGCTCGAATTTTGTGTAAATGTGGCAGATTGGTTTCTTGGGGAATAGTCGGATTTTCAAAGGGCACTCTGATTCTTCATAAATATCCTTGCCAGTCGGCTTGAGTCTAATTTTGTTGCGTTTTGTCGGGTTCTTTCGTACTTATTTACTTATTTTTTGGTGCATGTATGTTGTTTCTGCATTGACTAGTGATTATTTACTTTTCGTACTGAAATGACCGGTTTCATTTGGTAAACCTTCAAATGCTTTCGGGATATGCATTTTACTAATGAAATTATTGTGAGAAGTACTTTAAAAAGCAAAAGAACTCTACCGTTCCTGTTTCTCACCTAGCATGGTGGAAAATAAATTTGGATGACTTGTTGGGATATGCTTCATATTAATTTATGAAAAAGGTAAAGATATGATTTGTTTCAATGTTTGTTTCTAATAAAAAGGATAGAATTTTTTTAATAAGAAAAAAAGGATAGCAGCATGTTCTACTTTACCAAAAGTTTTGAAAAAGTAGTCTCCTTTCTGGAGCTGTTGGACATTCTGGGCAAGATGAAAGAACTTGACCCAGTCACTAGTAGGTAAACGACCTCCTTCTTGGCCAAGTGGATAGTTAATAGGTTTCTTTCCAATATGAAGCTGATGACGTAGAAAGTTTAAGTTATGGAAACCCACCAAAAAATTGAGAGTTGATAAAATTACCAAAGTGTTTGCGAGTAGGATAATTTATGCTGCGGTGAAACCACCATTCTATTAGATTTTATCTCGGTTTTATATCTTGAATGGAATCCAAATATTCGTCTCATTTATTTTGAACTTCAACACACAGGTGGTTAAGTTGTTACCTGTGAAGTCGCTTTCCTCTGGGACAGTGAGGAAAAGACGTGGTCTGTCTTTCGAAGGATTCATGCTGGATCATTTTGTTCCTGGTTCTCCAGTGATAATTAGTGACTCTATGGATCATTGGCCAGCCAAGAGTAGATGGAGTGACATGAATTACCTTAAAAATGTTGCAGGCTTTCGTACAGTTCCAGTTGAGGTATTTTAGTTCAATTAGTATACTTGAAGTTTCATGATCATTTATCTGCTTTATTACTAGACATGGCCATTCTCGTTTATGTTCACGCACCAACATTCTCATTTACTGTTATTTTTTAGTCTTGGTATCATATTCTCTTAAAATATCTCGTTTAAGGAAAATAAAAAAGATGGAAAAATATATGCTTCCTATAAGAGATGTCCAGCATCCACTTCTCTTCTGTTTTTTCCTATTTGTGAATTTTCTTTGATCTTGTTGTGATATTTAACTTAAGAAGCATTACGCAGGTCGGAAGAAACTATCTATCCCAAGATTGGAAGCAAGAGCTAATCACTTTCTCTGAGTTCCTAGAAAGGATTCAAGCAGGCGACTCTTCATCTGCAAACACGACATATTTAGCCCAGCACCAACTGTTCGATCAGGCACGCTGCTCTACTTAAATTAACTGTACTATCTTGTGCCATTTTACGGCGCAATACTTTTTATTCACTTTCTTAACAGCTGCCTGATTCTGAATGTGCAGATACAGGAATTAAAGAAGGATATTGTTACACCTGACTACTGTTTTGCTGGTGGTGGGGATATGAGGTCGATTAATGCCTGGTTTGGTCCATCTGGAACAGTTACCCCATTGCATCACGATCCACATCATAATATCCTTGCTCAGGTAGATTTAGGAGAGACCATATTGTTTGCCTCTGCAAGTAGTATTTGATGTGCTGTGTTATATAATGTGAGCATAGGCTGGTCCTTGAATCACTCATGCTTGTGTTTTTAGAGGTTTGCTCATCAATGTGCTAAACTTAGGGTCATGTTATATCACATGTTGGAAATAATTTTTGATACTATACTAAGGTATTGAGTACAACTTCTTTCTCAATTTGCACCTGTTGTTTGGTTGATATTTCTTGCATTCCATATTTTCAGGTTGTGGGCAAAAAGTACATTAGGCTCTATCCTGCTTCATTGTCAGACGAGGTCTACCCTCATGCTGAGTCGATGCTAAGCAATTCCAGTCAGGTATCTATCTTGGCCCTTGCACTAGATTTATGAAGAGATATCGTGCCATTGTGAGGGCCAATCCTTACCAAACTTTTGACAATTATAGACGGAACATAACATGTTAAAAGTTAAAAAACTAAACAAACTACTGCGTCGTTCTCCCTGACACACTGACGGGATGAAAAGATCCAAGTGATGTAGAAAAGCTTGAATAAATGAACAAACATTAATTTAGTTGGTGTTCTGCTTCTTTACCAATTCATTTTTTTTCTTCTTTTGAAATGAAGGTTGATCTAGATAACATAGACGAGAAAGAGTTTCCAAGAATATTGGATTTGGAGTTTGTGGATTGCATACTAGAGGAAGGTGAAATGCTATACATCCCTCCAAAGTGGTGGCATTATGTGCGGTCCCTCACTCCTAGTTTTTCGGTTAGCTTTTGGTGGAGCCATGAAGGGAACTCATCAGATACCTAATCTTTTTTTGTGTAGTCTGTGTCTCCCTCTAATTCGTGTCTCATATTTTGGTTAGAAACTGAGTGGTCGAACATTTTGGGTAAACACATTCCTAATATGTACTTGCTGTAGGGCAGTTCTTCTAAATCGAGACAATAGAGTAGTTTCACAAATAATAATGTGTTCCTTTGGATTGTAAGCAAGTATCTTCCTAGGTAACTTTGCCATTGCAATTTATGTGACCATTTTTCTTCTGCGAACTAACTGTTGTGGGGCACAAGTAAAAAAGCAAATGAAATGAATAGGAGAGTTTT